CAAAAAGTCAATCCAAACAGTACCTTAGTTCAAGTGATAAAAGAGGCGTTTACGATTTTACAAGTTCAAATCCTACATATGCATACTAATTTTGATATTTAAGTGGAGGAAAGTAAAAAGGATAATTTCTCTTATCTTCGAGTTTCGTGAATTGTAATTGATTTTAAGAATTATCAGAAATAAATATCTTGATATAAAAATATATATGCACATCAAAATCTTTTTCTATAAAGCTTGGACACGAATTTTAGATGTGATGTTGTAGTGTTACAAATTGATGATGGACAAAAACTATGATTTATTTCAACTTATCATTTGAGCAGATGATAAAGTATTTTTGATCAGATATATTTTTTTTGAATAAATATATCAAATCAGTTAATAACTTTAAATATATAGTGATTTTTAATCATATGCATTAGTTTTAGTATGTCTTAAAACCCACCTATGGTGATTATGAGATATGTGTGATCGAACACTAGTACATTGTCTTGGTTGTTTAAAGTTTGGAAATTTTTAAATAATGATAAAATATCTTTGTATATTTATTTGTGAAACAATAATAAATAAAGCACTTCAAAAATAAATTTTAGCAAAATGAGCATGCAATAAACTTATTTAAATGGGCTTTGTATATAGAACAAAGTCCAATTTAGGCCCAAGTCAAATCCATATTACAAATGAAGTGTTAGCCCATTGTTTCATTACTTTTCATGGTTTTCCATGTCGTCATTTTCGAGGTAAATTGTTTATGTATTAATTTCTATTCCTTTTTAGGAGCTATTATCTTTTTGTTCTCTCGTTGACTCGAGTTCATAAACTTAAGGGATTAGAAGTAAAGATTATTTACCATCCGAACAATGCCTATACATTACGTAATCGTTTCATTTAAGCTTGTTATTTTTTTTTACTATTGATAGTTCTTAGGTAAAATCTTCAACGGTTTAAAATAAACACTTTTATCTTCACATAAGCTTAACAAAACACACTATAGGTATAATAATAGACAATTAGACATAACAACCAATTCTACATTGTACAAAATCTTGGATACCTCCAAATAAAAAAGAAAAATAGACGATATTTAAACACGAGTCTCCCTTCTTGAGACGATAGTGAATAAAATCTCAAGATCAGGAGGGTGAAAATAACCTTCCTTAGGTGGAGAACTCTGTTGTTTCACATAAATTCTTTTCTTCCTCGGCGTTGGCGGCGGGAACATAGAATTCACCATAATCCTATGTTTATCATGTCTTGGTGTCTTGCATCCTTCATCTATTTCCATCGATTCATTATCTCTCTTCACCATAATCGCGTAACGCACCAATCTCTCCCAAAAATTGAAAAATAGTTATAACAGTCGTGATTATAAACGGATTGAGATAACAAATGAGTATGTGTGTGAGATTTTATATTAGTAAAGACTTCTCCAAGAAGCTGTTATTTTGACTTATGTTTAATCGTGTGAGGGAAGCTATACATTATGATTGTTGATTATCCTACGTGGCATAAAGTTTAGACACGTGGTTGATTTTGATTTGTTGGATTGAAAGTTTTAAAATTCCCGCGAAAGTGCTGAGAAATTGTTAATAGTTTAAATAAAGACCACTTTTTTTTTAATTTATGGTTATTTTTGTAATTATTATTTATAAGGAATGTGAATTTAGTCAAGTTGATGAGAATAATGGGCTTTATTCGATGCATATTCTTTTGTGGGCCTAATTAAGTTATGGGCTATGGCCCATGATAATAATGTTGGATCATTTTAGATTTTAGCCATAGGTAAAGATACCAAATATTTAAAAGAAAATTTTCATAAATCTTAGGGAAAATATTTGGTCGATAGACACGGTAGCGAATTCATGAAAGGTTGAGGTGTATCAAAAATATCGCCCTTAAGAATATTTCATGTGACATAAATGTATCTCTCAATTTTCAGAATGCGACAAGCTCTTTTAATATAAAGTTAGAAGTCAGAGTTGAATAGAGATTATCGAAAATACAAAAAGGAGGAATTTGTCTTGGATCTCCTCCTTCCCAAATGAAGAAGACTAACAAATATATATATATATATATATATAATATATATATATATATATATATATATATATAGATAGATAGATGAAGATCACAACATGAGTTTAGCTTTTGGCTCCAACTATTTATTGTCATGTAATAAATAGGTTTAATAACAATGAAGAATATTGGTCAATTATCAAAAGGTTAACTTGTTGCAAAAGAAATTTAATAGTCACTTAATGCTATTTAAAGAGCATATAACGTTTGCTCATATTGGACAAAAAGTTATGCAAATTGTGATTTTTCCCAAGAAACTTATATCTATAAAATAAAGAGATTGACAATGATGTTTAGTATTGGAGTGGGATAGATAAAATAGAGATTTGTTTATTGTATTTTGTATGATAAGGATGTGCAATCTTTGGCTTTACCGTGTTACTATTCGGAGAATGGAGGTGATCTCTCTCTATCTTCAGTCAGTCATTTCTACCGGCTCCGGCTAACTTCCTTTAGGAAGGAAAGCAAGTCCCATCGATTGAGCTAACAGTAGTGAAATCGATAATATTGAGATGAATATGTATGTGGATGGACATATTAGGAAAGATAAGATTAAAAATGAATATATTCAACACAAGGTGAGAGTAACTTTCGAATACAACAAGAAAAGAAAAGTTGAGACAATTCGAACCGCGGCAAAGTGGATGCATAAATACCCTAGTGAATACGTATAATAGATTGTCCATATATAGAAACCAAATAAAAGGCAAAGATGGACCAAAGAAATATTGAGAAAAAGTAATTAAATCGAAAATGATACAACTTCATCTTATCGTGGAGACCCTTATAGGAGGGTGTGAAGGTCAACTTCCTAATTTATTTGTCATCTCTTCTTGAGTCAAAAATTTTATCCGAAACAATCTTTGTACCTTTATAATATAGAAATAAGATCTATTTAAACGTTATTTCTCGAAATAATTATATAAATAATTTTAAAATACAACATACTTTTTAATTAATTAAAAATTATTAATAAAGTTTCTAAAAGTATTAATGGGTGGGAATCTTTTTACAACGTCTCTTTGCTGGTCCAACCTAACGTAACAAACATGGCCAGTTCAGCCATTATAGCCTGTCATCTGAGCTGTTTCTTCAACAAATTCAGCTGTCATTTTGTTGCCTTTTACTATAAATACTTCCTTTTGTATGCCCAATTTTCATCATCAACTTTGCACAAAATCTCTCTCTTCCTCCGTCTCAATTCTCATCATTCGCTTCCAATTCATCGAAATTCTCCTTTCAGTTTCATCAATGGCTTCTGTTAGCATCATCAAGGCTTTTGTCCTCGCCGTATTTCTCGCCGCCGTTGTCGTTTCAGCTCAGGAACCTACTCTTGCTCCGGCTCCGGCGCCTGATGCCGGTGCGGCTTTCTCTTTGCCGGTTTCCGGTGCTTTGATCGGAACTTCTTTGCTCGTGTCCCTGTTCGCTGCTCTGAGGCAGTAAAACTGTGTGTTTTTTTTTTTACTGATTTGGTTGGATGATTGAGATTGGATCTGGTGGCTTTTTATTCTTGTAATTGATCGTATTATTCTATTGATTCTTTGTTTTTCCTTGTATATGAGATTATTATTGAAGTTATATTAATCATTTAATTCTTCCTAAATAGTTTGCATAATTCTCTCTTAATTTTTCTATATTCTCTCTCTTTGATATAAACAACTATGTATTTTAAAAGTTCAAAAATTGATCAAATAAACAAATTGAAACAAAAGAAATTTGAGCTTAATTGTGTCAATATTTGTCTAGTAAGATGAAAAGAGGCGGAATCAGAGTTCACCGAACTGAGGCGGAATTAGAGTTTGCGAGTTTACTGAATCAATCAATTTCTGTTAGGGGTTCATTAGTTAATATTTATATAAATTCTAATTAATTTTCTAATATAAATACGGGATCTACATAAAATTACTGATTGGATAAAACTCATGAACCCCATCCAGCTCCACGAAGATGAAGTTAAAGGATATGTTAATCAATAATTCGTTTATAGGCCCTAGGTTCTGATCACTGGTGCAAAATTCAGTGAATTGAAAAGCAAAACAATAAAAAACTACATGATTCTTCCATCGAATCTTTCTTGCCTAAGTGGTTTATGAAAACACAAAAATTGAATTTAGTTTTGATTTTGGTACAATATTCTGAGGATTGACATGAGACTTCACATAGATGAATTAAAATTTGTTTTAGTTTGCTCAGATACAAATTATTGGTAGAATTAATAGATATTATTATACTAATAGACAAATTCTAAACAATGATCGATCCCATAATCATCTTTATCTTTCAAATCAACTAAATCATTTCGAACATGATGAACTTATCTATGTAATCAGAAGTGTGAATCGATGAAGTAAACACATCAATTTCCATTATCTAAAAATTGAAGTTTTTATTATAAGGGAAAAGGGTCTGATATACCCCTCAACTTTGTCATTTGGAGCTGATATACCACTCGTTATAAAAGTGGCTCATATATGCCCTTACCGTTATACAAACGGCTCACATATACCCTTGCCGTTACAAAATGGCTCATATATACCCTTCATTTAACGGATTTTAAAAAATTAGTTTTAAATTTATATTTATTACTTCTAATTTTTAAAAAAAATTTATTTAGGGGTATATATGATTCTTTCAAGATATATTTTAATTTTTTTCATACAGAAATTATTTTTTGACTTCTTTTATTATAATTATTTGAATTTCTTATTCTTATTTTATTTTTTCTTTCATTCCTTATTTAAAGAATAAAAAATTAAACTATTTTTTTTGTGTGTATTGTAATTTAATTTCGTAAAATTTAATCATCTACAATAAGTTTTACAAGAATATTAGTGAAACATAAATAAATTTGATTATCAAATAATAATTATAAATTAGTAATTGAAACAAAAAAAGTCAAAAAAATAAGTTTGACGAGGATTAAATTTACTCATATGAGAAAAAGGTATATGTGAACCATTTGTTTACAAATAAGGTATATATGAGCCACTTTAATAACAAGAAATATATCAATTCTAAATGACAAAGTACCTTTTCCTTATTATAATATCATCGCATTCATAAACAGAGTACATTCACAAATCAAATAGAAAGCAGTTAAACACAAGATAGATAGTAAATTAATCCGATCAGATCTAATCACTGTCGCTGCTGCTGCTACTATCATGTCCGTCATGTTTCTTCTCCTTTTTGTCTTTCTTCTTCTTCTTCTTCTCTTTTCCATCCTTGTGATTCTCTCCACTTTCTTCTCCATGGATCTTATCTTTTATCTTCTCAACAAATCCTTCCTTATGCTCATCCTTCTTGTGTCCTTCTCCCTTGTGTTCCTCTTTTTTGTGTTCTTCTTCCTTATGGCCACCTCCGATGTGGAGTTTCTCTTCAATTTTGTGGATGATTCCTGCCATTGTTAGATCAGAGATGAGAAATTGAGTTTTTTTTTTTGGGGGGGGGGGTTGCAGAATTGACAATTGTGTGAGGAGAATGGTGAGTGTGAGAGAGGTATTTATTGGGAAAAATGGAGATTCGTCGGCACGATATTTCTCATTCAACTAATTTTACATTTTTAACCTTGTTACGTGTACACGGTTCCAACACGATTATTATTATAAAAAGAAAATGGGTACTCTATCGGTTCCATTTTATATATTATTTTTTCTATAAATAGTTGGATCACAACAAGGGTGACTTGATCGTGTTAAAAAAAAGATATGTATCTTAGGCCTCCAAATATAAGGAGCTTCATTTTTAATAATAACAGGTTATAAGTTATTATATTTTAATAAATATTGAATACTTTCATGAAAAATTAAGGAATTATTAAAAAAAAATTGACATGTTTAGAGTACTATATCTCATGAAAAATAATTTCAAATAAGAATCGTTATATAATCAATTGAACACTAGAAGAAATCAGTTATACACAAGTTATTAACAATTCAAGTTTAAGGTCTTCGTTTGATTTTTACTTTACGCCACTAGTATGCTTGAGCCGCTCCTGATCATAATACTTGTTATTTTATAAAATTTATGCGTAAAATTACTATGTTTTGTATATTATACCCTTGATAGATAGTTGATTAATTTTGAAAATGTATTCATCATTTATTATAAAGTTGACTTAAGAAAATATTAAATAAGGAGAAGGATAAAGTTACATCATTTCTCAATGCAAATGTAAAGTAAAAATGTGACACATAAAAAGGGATGGTAAGAGTAATTACTTTCTCTAATTTGGATTATTTGTATGATTAGATTTTTAAATTGATTTTTTTTATATGTAGTATTTTGACGATAATATACTTTATATAATTTCGTATAAATAGGCATCGAATTTGAAAAAATAAAATATTTTATTTCGATAGAGGCTTTTTGACTTTCGATTGTTGTTTAGTGAAATAATTTATGACATTTGTAATGTTAAGAGTAGATAGGTTCACATTTGGAGTCGGCAAGTTATTGGCCACAAATTAGAGAGGAGATTGAAGGCTACGTGCAAAGACTTGTCTTATTTGCTAACAAGTCAAAGTAGAGAATAACTCAATTATTAGAAAATAATAATAGAGTAATAGTAGTATCACGTCTAGGGTCATATCCCAGATTTATTGAAGATGTGTTATGTCTTGTCTAATGATTTGATACTGTCTTACTTCCGATAAAGAACTTAAATATAGCTTTGGAAATTAAGGGTCTAATCACGTACATACTTTTATATTTAGGGTCATATCTTCGATAAGCTGAAGATGTATCATATCCTGTCTAACATCCGTGTAGGCTTACTTCCATTAAAGAACTTGGATGAACCTTTGGAGATTAAGAAGATTGCAAGACAAGATTGGTGAGCTTCAATGACAGATCAAGAAGATGTTTACCATAGACAGAGGAGAAAAGGGACTCGGCCGGAAGTGGAGTGTACCATGAGAGAAGCAAGGTTAATATACAACATGGATTCTAACAATGTAATCGGACTCTCGTGTCGATTCAAATGAATCATCAAACAAGATAGAGCAATGCTTAACTTTGTCATAGAAACCTCGGTTCGAAGGTAGAGAGGCTGTTCCAATAAACCCTTGGCTCAAATGTTAAACATCAATATCAAAATGCTACTCATGAGTGATAAGAAGATGCAAATGAAGAATAAGCACGTCGGAACTCGCATTTATTAGAAGAGATACCAGCCTATAACACCTTCACAAATCATTACAAATGCTAACATATAACTAACATGTTTGATATAAAATATAAACGAAGAGAAACCAATACACATATCGCCTATTTGTCATTCCTCTCTCCTGTTGTTGATGCCACAGTTCAACGCGTAGGGGAGGAAGACAGCAAATGAAGTTCTGCTTCCACTCCCCCACAAGCAAAGCAGTGTTATGAACATAGCAATTCACATTTGTGCTTGTTAAATTAACACTAAAGAAATGACCAAATCAATAAGTAGCACTTGGTAAAGTGAGTACCGTTCATGAGCTCGTTGTTTAAAGGGGCAGAGGGGTATCATGGCTGCTGAATGTGCTCCTTGAATGAGAACAAATTCAATATGCTGCCTTCCACATTGAAAGTGCAGATGCAATACGACCCTTCCAGCCCTGCAGTAGCCATTCACTATCTACGTCAATAATGAAATTCTTGTCGTACACCTTGAATCGTTCTGTTGTCATTCTCATAATCTCCTCATCCAAAGGAAGCTGCCGAAAACCAGCCTTCAGAATTCTAACTTGCCATTGCTTGTATGTTTCTGGTCTCTCAATTCTCTCAGCACCTTCGCACGCGATGGCATTCATTGCCTCCTGACCAATTATATTCTTTTCAACCAGCATTCTCTCGTGCACTTCCCGGGGAATAATAGTTTCAAGCATATCAAACAAGGATGAGTAGTGAAAAAGAGCCTCACGGAATCGTGAGATAAAGAATGGGGCATTATAACCACCATTTACAGTTCCCAGTATGAAAACATCTGGATTCAACCTCCGGATAAGATTCAGAAAAACATCTCTTGGACTATTGACCACCACAGTCTCATCAAGCAGATTCCTAAACCGGTACAGACAGTTTACCACAAGAACCTCACCCTTATTGATCTTAAGATCCTCGAGTTTAACTGTTTCCCACTTTTGCGCTATAGCATTGAACTCAAAAGGAACTTTGAAGCTCTCAGCATAATTTGCTAACCGCCTACCAGTTTCCTCAACCCTTTCTGCTGGTCGGAAACCAGGATTTGGAAAATCAATCCCAGTTATACGAAGCTTGGGAGGTCCACCTGGTCTAGAAGCGAGACGTTGTATGAGGCCAGGCCATTGGAAACCCCACATAATGCCAATATCTATAATATGTACTGTTGAAGCCTTTTCAGCTAGATTCATAATTGTCTTATTTGAGAAAAAGCTAGACATAGTCCTGAATGGGCAGGCAGCAAGCAGTAGATGGTACGCTTTCAAGACATCAGCTGCTGATACAGGCCGTGTAATAAGGGCTTTATAGATATGAGTACCGGAACCAGCCATCCGTGCCTCAAGACCGTCAGCAAAATAATGTGCCAACCTCTGCATTCCATCCCCCATAGGAGAAGAACTTTCCCTTATCTTCTTCAGAAGCTCATTTGCGGTCCGTTGATTACCTACAGCAACAGCTTGTGCACAGAGCGTCAAAAGTGTTCTCAAGTCTACCACATCTCTTTTACCCCCTTTTTTCTTTCGTTGTAACTTCTTACCGTTAGATCCCTTTGAAGGGCCATTCTTCGATGCATTTTGCCTTGATATAGCCTGCAAGGCTTCACGAAGAGCAGATTCATTTTTCCCTGCACTGCATAGCAGCACCCTATCAAACATTTCCGATCGGACAGTTGATTCAGAAAACACTGCAGACTGCTTGTTATTTCTCCCTTCCGTTAAATCTACTATATCTTCATGAAAGGTATTTTTCTTCCCCCTCGACCTTTCAGTATATCGCTTTTCCCCATACTTGTCAACCTTTACGACTGCATCTTTCCTCTCTTTATACCGTAGCTCCTTTCCCACTACATGATACCTCACATCAGCAAGCAAGCTATTGCCTGTAGGAAGGAACTTACTTGCCTCCTCCACCCCTTTCTTAAACTGCATAACAGACTCTCCGCCACTAAATATGTCAGGAATCCTAAGTGTGCTCACAGGAGAATCCACAGGCACATCCGGGACAGTGCCTGACAAACTGTTGGATGACCGAGAAGTTGAATCCAAAGCAACATCATCGGGAACATGTGACACATCATCCTCACCAAGATCAAGAATCCAATTTGGGCCTAGTAAACCATCACGACCATCATTTCCACTACAGTGGCCCATAGCATAACGTTCAATCTGACCTAAAGTGGACGATTTCTCATGATTTGTGGAAGAAGGATACTTCTCTCCAATAACTTCGTAAAACGATCTTTCTGCAGCTTGAAGAGCTGCAGATTCTTGAAACATGCAAGTCTTTTCTTCAATATCCTCTTCCATAAGCATCTGATTTATATACTTTAGAACCCCATCACTGAAATCATAATCCTCATGAAAGTCATCTGCAGTTAATGGAACTAAAGCATTTCGTTCGACATCAGATTGAAATGGACTGCTAATATTGACTAAATTATCACTAACTCTAAGATTATTAATCAAATTTGGATCATAATCGTCATGAAAGTAATCATTAACTCTGAGATTATTAATCAGATTCGGATCAGCGAAAAATGAGCAATCTTCATCCTCTAATTTAACTGCAGATCCTGCCTCATGATATTGCCCCATTATATCAATTTTCAACTAAATCTGCAACAATCAAGAATTCAAAACCCCAAAATGTCATCTCCAAATAAAATCCTTTTCAACCATAAAATTATCAACAACAACAAAAAAAGAATTGATCACATCAACATGCTAATAATACATCAAAAATACAATACCCAGAGCTTAAACTCGGTAAACAGCTGTTAAGATGTTCCACATCGATAGAGGGATAAAACTAGCTTTTGAGGTTGAGTTAGGCCCAAGATCCATCTTTACTACAACAACAACATAACTAAAACTCTACGAGTGGGATCTGAGGAAGTTTGTGTGTACACAGATCTTACCCATACTTCTACGAGTGTGATTTGAGAAAGTTAGTGTGATCTTACCCTACTTCCTTACGAACTAGAAATTAGTGTGTACGCAGATCTTACCCTAGTTTTTTATAGACTAAATAAAGGAATAGTAACTAAAACAAGACAAAATACTACTACACAACGCATTACAAAGCATACTTAATAAAGGAATAGTAACTAAAACAAAATAATACAAAGCATACTAAATTAAGGAATAGTAACTAAAACAAAATAATATGATAAGCAAATTATATGGATAATAGATAGTAACAAAAATTGAAAGAATCTATAAGAGTAATACTAACTAAAATCCAGAAAGAAATGAAAATTAATTAAAGTTTAATCTACATCACCAGAATTCAATTGATTATCAAAAGAGGTAACATTATGTTGAACACAAAAAAATAAGTGAAGAAATTAAGAACAGAGAAATTACCTGAAATTTTGATCAAAGAAGAGAAAGAGAAAGAAGGGTATTGAGTATTTGACTTTTCTTGGTTATAAAAAATACTATAAATATAAACTCACCACAAATGCAATTTTTTCACTGTTGGGGTCTTAACAAAAAAGAATAAAAAAGGAAAAATGTGTAGTCCATTTTGGTTAGTTTTATCGAGTGTTTTAAAAGGCGGGGCGTGAAGTGAATCGTTTTATACAGTATAGGGTGAGGTGTAAGACATGTAAGTCTCATAGATTTATAAGGTGTAGCTTCATGTATATTTAATTTTAAAATTTTATTACTAATAAAATAAGTAAAATAAACCTTGATTTTTATTTGAGATAAGTATTTATAATCAATAATGAAGAAAACAAAATTATAATTACTATTTGAGAAGTATCATTACACCAATAGTAAAAGTATGATTTAAAGGAAAAATAAAATTTTAAAAAATAAATTAAAAACGCCTAAACATTTTTATGCCCCGAAGTGTTTTTAATATATCTCGCCTCGAGACTCGTCCAAAAAATATCTTTTAAAACACTGGTTTTACCTATTAATATTTCAACATATGACTTTTATGAGATGAAAATTTTAAAATTTTCTTACTTAGATTTGAGAATTTCATATATTATTAAATATAAAAATTATTTCATATGTTTATATTTAATTTTGGAAAAATACTTTACTTTATATCTAACAAATATTTATTCTATCCATAAACCTTTCAGTTAATATTATTGTGTTTACCAACCTTGAAACTATTTATATCAGATATAATCATTATTAATAAATTTATACTTCTTCGTTGTTTCTATAGACCCTTGGTTCAATATTAGAGAGATTGTTCCCTATAATTTATCGACTTAAATATTAAACATCAATATCAAAATATTATTCATGAAATCTATACCTATAACATATTCACAAATCATTACAAATGCTATATATAACTAACATATTTGATATAGAATATAAATGAAGAAAAACCTATACACATATTGCCTATTTGTTTAACACTTCATTTTATGTCGTGTAGAAAAAAATTTAAATATGTCATTAAACTTAAAAAAAAAAACTCATATATATTAATTTTTTCTAAGTTATTTCAGTTAATAAATAATGAAATAAATTAATTTTTTCTCAAACAAAAAATAACATAAATCAATTAAACATTTTATAAATAATATAAATTAGTCTTTTTTTTTTAAATTCAAAAATATATTTAAGTCCTCTCCTTATGTTAAAAAAAAATATAAACACACCACATAGTGACACTGTAAATCCACTCATGGGGTCTTTATGGAAAGGAAAAAAAAATGGAAAAAAGTGTCCTCAAATTTCTTTGTTCCAATCAATGATAAGAAGTTTAGTCAATTTTGGTTAGTTTTACCAATTTGGAGTTGAATCATTTCAGTATGACTCTTAGTTAAAGTGCATCGATTTATTCGTTTCGATTTTATATATTATTGATTTTTAATTTTTAATTATTAATTTATTAAATTTTATTCTTAACAATTTTATTTAATTAATAAGAAATATTTATAAAATAAATATATAATTTCTCTAACAATTTGATATGACAAAACGCTAATGTAATTTTATAAGATACTTATAAAATAGAAATAGTAATAAGTAACCTGAAAATTTTTTTATACAAATGCAACACAAAGAAATATTAAAAGGAATAAAATTTTTACTTTAGAATTTATTGACGTTTTGTATAATTTAAAGTTGTGAAATCAAAATTACTATATAGTATGAATTGAATGACAAAAAGCAAAAACATAATAAGCAGTTTTGATATTGAGATAAATATTTATATTTATGTAGAGCTAAAGTAATAAATTACTACGATATGATAATTCGATAATTATTTTTTCATTAAATCATTAAATACTTGTTAACCCAATAGCAATAAATTAATAACATAATTCTTGCTCAATTTACTGTTCGGTTCGATTTTTGTATACCCTAAGCATTATACATAAATATGTTCTTTAAACTCAATTTTAGTTGATATTTACTTCTTCAATTTTAGACATATATAAGTAGGTACTTGAATTTGTATAGAAATTAAATACGTAAATATATGTATCCTATTTGGTACATACAAATCAATTCAAGTATAATTCACGCAAATTGTTAAGTAGGGCGCGTGATAAAAAGTATTTCTTTCTTAAACTCCGTAATTCGTTAGACTAAGACTGTTCAAAATCGAAAAGCCGAACCGATAAAAAAGTTATTGGTTTATAGTATTGGATTATTGGTTTAGTGGTTTTGATAACGGTTATGATTTTTTTTGTTATCGAGTTATTGGTTCTTAACGGTTTAAAATTTTTTATTAACGGATTAACCGATAACCCGATAGTAAATTAAATTTATATTTATACCATTTTGTATATATAGTCCTCGACTTAGAGTTTAATTTTCTACTTTTATTTTTTGTTGTCTCAAACACTTGATTATTACGATGTAAAAGTGTTTGCTTTTGAGCAAGATGTAACTTGTGAACTCAAGGACATGGTTTATTTGGTTTGTCACATTGTTTCTAAGTGATTTTCAATATTTTTTTCTTTTGGGTCAAATCTTAACGGTTAAACCGATAACCGAACCGATAACGATCAAAACCCGATATTTAGCATCACTATAAACCGATAACCAATAAGCCAACTCGATAAACTTTAAAACCGAACCGAACCGAACCGGCCGATACTGCCACGTCACCATTGTTATCCACTTGAGTTATCTCCCTCATTTTCCTCCATTTATCTCACTTTCAAAAATATCTATTTTTCTTCTCTTCCATGTTTTGAAACTATTTGAAAATGTATTTCTCATCTGTTTTATCTCCTTCAAATTGCTCATTAGTGAAGAGATCACACCAAAATCAACTCGAGAAATTATCTTTTACGCCATTGAAGAATCTTCGGTTCTGTGGACTGAGAAATGAGATTTTAGCGTTTGAGTTTTTGAAGCTTAATCGATGTGAGACTCAGAGAGTGTGTAATTTTCGAAGGAGTAAAATAGTAGTATCAGCTTCAGTGGCTGAAAATGGCAGCGCTCCGACGTCGTTTGATTATGATTTAGTCATAATTGGTGCTGGTGTTGGTGGTCATGGTGCTGCATTACATGCTGTGGAGAAGGTACGAGTTTGTTCGATTTTGATTTGATATGAAATTTGATTGAAATAAAAGAAATTAATTTTTTAATCTTTATGGTTATAAATAAAAAATAAGTAGAATATATATCAAAATTCACTTTTGTTGTGTTTTTAAACGTATCACGTGAAAAGTTAGAGGAAAGAGATTTTTTAAAAATAAGTTGTAACTTTGATGGTCCATTTTCTTTTTATAAAAAAATAAATTTTACTCCGTCTCATTTTATTGTGGCGTTTATCAAATTTTGAGATTTAAATAAGTTTATGTTTGACCATAAGTTTTTTATTGATTTTTTAACATTTTGAATTATCAATTATTGTGACTTACATTTGCATAGTTTATAAATATATAAATTTCATATAAAAAAGAATTGAAATTTCATGCACAAATTTTTGGTCATACATTGATGCTAGAAAAACGAAAACTGTCACATGAATTGGGAGTTTGGGACAGAGGGATTGGATACTAGGAGCATTGCAACTCTGCTTTGTGCAATTTTTAAAAATCTTCTTTTTTAAAAAAAAATTCAAAAGATGGTTTAATTTGGTTTTGATTCAACTCCAAAAGTTAGTTAATATGAAAATGCAAAGTTGAGACAGAGGGAGTATGAATTTTGAACATTTTCGTAGGGCAAAAGCGATTCATGAGTGGAAATGAAGTCATAGGAAGTGGCGGCAATGTGGCCCCTAACATCGCGAATAAGAGGAAAGAGAAGTCATAACAAGGTTTCTGTAGGTGAACCTGCGTTATGGACATTGTTGAAGCATGCTAAGCATAACGACTAGCAAATTTGCTTAACTGCTGAGGAGTGGCAGGGTTAGGGTGCTTTGGACCCTTTCATGCATCTCCCTCCTATCTTTGGTGCGTGATCACGTGCATGCTTGGTGATGAATGAACCATGCCAAGGAAAACTAACATTGATAAGCTGCCTCTCGCGTCCTGTTTAGACATTGAGTGTGCAAGTTCTTGCCATCTTATTTTGTGTTCTCTAGACTTTTCTCACATTTGTATAACTTTGTTCTTTGGGGATCACACCAATCTAACTGGCATTAGGATTTCTTTCGACTAGTACTATGCGTCTCTTATTCTCATTAAAACGTGTTTTTTGACAGGCTAAAGGACTGTTTTTAGGCCTTCTCAAATTGATTGCACCAACATAATCCTAGCAACAATGACTAAATGTTCACTTATTTGCATCAGGGGGTGGAGGGAATAGCAATGATACTAATCGGTAGAAGAAAGAGAAAAATTCTGTGGACTCTAATCCACACGGCACTTTTGTAGTTAGTTTCGACAGCCTCATGTCTTTGTCACTTTACTAGCAGAAATAACATTATTGACCATTGTGCATGTTGTATATACTTAGTTACTTGTTAGTTCTATCGTAGTTGTGATGACTGGAAATTTATACTATCCTTTCAGGGTCTTAAAACAGCTATCATTGAAGGAGATGTAATTGGCGGAACTTGTGTAAACAGAGGCTGTGTTCCTTCTAAAGCACTTCTTGCAGTTAGCGGTAGGATGCGGGAACTTAAGAATGAGCATCACTTGAAAGCTTTGGGTATACAGGTGATTCCATTTATTATGCTAAATGTCTCTGCATGACTAGGGATGTATCTGAAGCAACAAACAGTTAAATAGTCGACCTCATTTATATTAGGACTCTGGAGCAAAAATTAATATTTCCGTGCATTACATAATATGGTGTTTCAATACTCACATTGTTAGCAGAAGAAAATATTATAGTGGGCGAAAAGATTGATAGAGAAGTGCCAGATCCAGTTTTAAATTTGAAAATGTAAATGATATGACTTCTTGAAAGTTGTATGGAGTTCTATTAGTAGTGCAATGATTTCAAACATTTTGATATGTCCCAAAATGTGAAAAGTGTGGATTAGATAGGAACCAGGGGAACATACAGAGTTGGTTACTTATGGTACTATGACATCCTGTATGTCATTTGTCTATCGTCTTGGAGAACTTGGTATGCCCTTTAAAGAACAAATCTGGAAATTGGCAAATATCGTTTGTTGTCCATACAATTTCCAATCAACTTTCTTTAGTTTGCTTCTTGGTTTCCTTTTTATAAAGAAAATGGACTTTGATCCTTGAATAATCCAAATCACTTCTAGACGTCCTCATAAATGTGGCCGAGTCTGCTGATTGATCAATCTCTTCCATGTGAATGACAGGTTTCTGGTGCTGGCTATGACAGGCAAGCAGTTGCTGATCATGCTAATAATCTTGCCTCGAAAATTCGTAATAACTTGACAAACTCTCTAAAGGCACTTGGTGTGGACATTTTGACAGGAGTGGGTACTATAACGGTAAGTCAATCTGTGCTTGAAACGAATATCATTAAGAACTTATTCTACTTTTAATCTTAACCTACATGCTGATGGAATACTTCAGGGTCCTCAAAGAGTGAAGTATGGAAAAGTTGGTTTTTCTGGCAGTGAAGTTACCGCTAGGGATATAATTATCGCTACCGGTTCTGTCCCTTTTGTTCCTAGAGGCATTGAAGTTGATGGTAAATTTTCTTTATTCTTTCCATTCCTGCTACATTATTGTCAAGATTCCTTGAAAATTACGTGTGGTCTGGTATTGCAGGCTTTGTTCTGTGGCATAATACATAAACATACACTCAAAATTGGCCTCAGCTAGTAAGTTAGCACTCCAACTTTGAGAGTGCACATCTAGACAATCAACTGACAATTAAATGCTCCAAATTGTCCTCACTGTGTCTCGTGAACACGCGACGCTGACGTGACACATTAAATATTGGAGGTGCCTAGATGATCGTTTTGTAAGTTGGATTGCTCAATTGACATAGTAGAGATGAGTTGAGGTGTCTAGATGTGCATACTCAAAGTTTCAAAGTTGGAGTGTTTACTTAAGCTGAGACCAAGTTTGAGTGTGTGCTTATGGATTATGCCGCCTTCTTTTAAGATGTGGTACCTTTTGGAAGGTGAATCCTCACCATTAGTCATACAACTCATATTCATTTTCAGGGAAGACTGTGATTACCAGCGATCATGCTCTCAAACTGGAGTTTGTACCTGAATGGATAGCTATAGTAGGAAGTGGTTATATTGGACTTGAATTTAGTGATGTGTATACCGCACTTGGTAGTGAGGTAGTTTCGCCTCTTTAAATCTCTAATTCATTTTCTTAAGACCGCTGTTCCTTCTTTCCGCCTTTGAAATGCTGTTTCTAGGCAAAATTGGCCAAATCAACCTCTAGCTAAAACTTGATGACTCTTTTCGAAAAAGTTTGACCATTTTTGCAAGTAATTCTGTTTCAATTGTGAAAAGTGAAATCTAATTTTTTTTTATGTACTTAATATTCTGCTATTCAATTTGTTTCAGAATGTCATCAACCTTTGAAACCGAAACTTGCCATTCGAAAAGGAACCAGAACCAAAATGTGCCATTTCAAATATATAGGTGTTTTCTTTCCTTTGTGATGTGATCATTTGCTTGGTATCATACAAGATGTTGTGGTGACTGTTCTCTTTCTAGTTACCATGTACCTGCGTCTTGTTTCCTTCTCTGTGAAACATTACATTTCTAAATTCTGACCGGTCTTATTTTCAATCCTTTGAAGTTTATGTTACTTGTTGTCTACACTGCCATCCTAAAATCTTGCATATTGAAGGTTTTGCTGATTCCAATCTTAGTATATCCTAGATTCGAAGCTTAGCTTTTGACCTTTACCTAAGTTATACTTCGTCTCTGCTTGATAAGAGAACAAGCCTTGCTTTCCTTTTTCAAGCACGAAAACGATAAAGTCTCAGATCAAACTAGTCGAGGTCAGCTATATCAATCGTTACTATCCATTTTGCTCCATTTGAACCTGTTTCATATGTATAGAAAGGATTCATCATCAATTAACTAGTTAACGCTAGTTGTATCAACCTACAACAACATCTTTTATCCAGACTTGGGACAGGCAAAATGTGCAAAACTCACACAAGCGGTGGAGTTTAAATTAAACTACAATAACAACAATACCCAGTGTAATCCCACAAATGAGGTCTGGGGAGGGTGGGGTGTATGCAGCGCTTACTCCTAGAGAGATTGTTTTGGATAGACCCTTGGGCTCAAGTAAAGCATAATAAAGTCACGTATGAAGAGGGAGATACAACAAAGAAGAAATTATGTTGAACATAATGGATAGGTGAACAGTAGCAACAGTAGCTGTTTAGCCTTTCATTTTGGTTTGTTTGAAATGTTCTTTGAGCTTAATCTTCTCCTAGAGGTACCTCAACGATTTTGAATTCTCTTTAAAAAATCAGATAACTAACAATCATTTTTAGTCACAGGTTACCTTTATTGAAGCTCTAGATCAACTTATGCCTGGATTTGATCCAGAGATTAGTAAGTTAGCTCAAAGGATTCTCGTAAATCCAAGGAAAATTGATTATCACACTGGAGTGTTTGCAACGAAGGTATTGATCACTCTTGTTTATGTTACTTCAACCACAAGTTCCCAAATATCTTAACTATCTTCTCTAATAATTCGTTCAGATCACCCCCGCAAAGGATGGGAGACCAGTTGTTATTGAGCTAACTGACGCCAAGACTAAAGAAGTAAAGGACACTTTGGAGGTAAAACAATATTATTACGCTTCTTTCGTTTTTGTTTTTTATTAGAACTTGTACATGCATTTCACAAAATTTTGTCTGGAGCTCATTGCTTTAGAGTCATTCTCTTTAACAATCAAAATTAGGTTATGTGTATTTGAATATTTAGTAGAATTAAGACAAGTTGTGTTCTATATATTCTTCTTGTTTTTTTGAATTTATAGACCGTATTCTGCATGTTTTAATAACAATTATGTTTAATTTCTATTGCACTGCAACATATACTTCGGTTTACTTCGTTCCCTGAGTGTTTATGAAATATCTCACAATGTGTATGAAAAAAAGCCAAATGGAGAATAGTACAAATATATATGTTTAGTCCAAGACTACTAATTATGAATGACAAATATATGGACAAAGAATTTTGATTTTTTTTTACGATAAAGTGAAATATCAATTATTTAGTGTTGTCGAATCACTAGGAAAAATATGTCTTAGAGCCTTGATGATGACATTGAAGCGTACATGAGAGGCAAAGCGTTCAACACGTTATGGCCTCGCTTCAAGGCTTAACCGCGCTTTGACAACACCAGATGAGGAAAAGTTGAACTTCTATATGGACTTGGGCAATCATCCCCTCATAAGCTACCTTTTGAGGTTGAGTTAGCTCAAATCCATTTTTTTACGATTAGACTTCATAAATCCTAAAAAACGTGAAATGGAATTGTGATCATTTTATTAATTTGCAGGTTTGTGAAAAAATATCAAGTGAGTGACCTCTCTTTGCTTTTTTTAGGTTGATGCAGCTCTAATTGCAACTGGTAGAGCTCCCTTTACGAATGGTCTAGGCCTGGAGAATGTATGTCTTCGCATAAATACATATACAATAGTCTACATCGATATGAAGATTTTGTTCATTTTAATGGTCAACTTTTGCAGATCAATGTGTTGACACAACGAGGTTTTATTCCTGTTGATGAGCGTATGCGAGTTGTTGATGCTGATGGAAATTTGGTTAGCTGGAACTACTCTATTGTCGACGTGGCTTTAAATGTTGTTCTAACAATGCTTTTACCACTAGGTACCTCACCTTTATTGCATTGGTGATGCGAATGGTAAAATGATGCTTGCCCATGCAGCCAGTGCTCAGGGAATATCTGGTGCGTATTGAATTATGTTGCGAATATTTTCTATACAGTCAACCGTTTTCCTTTAAAATCGATATCATGTTACAACTCAGTATGACCTTTTCTTATGAAATAGTTGTCGAACAAGTCTCTGGACGAGACCACGTGCTTAACCATTTGAGCATTCCAGCTGCTTGTTTTACTCATCCTGAAATCAGCATGGTTGGGTTGACGGAGGTGAAACTTCTTTAAAACGTTACGAATATATTCTCTGCAGTCAACCGTTTTCCTTTAAAATCGCTATCATATTACTCACAAATCATTCTTTCCATGTTTGATGAGATTAACTAGGTGGAAAACTGCTTTTACTTAGTTTTTTCTTAAACTGGCTTCTGCATTTTGCAGCCGCAAGCTCGAGAGAAAGCTGAAAAAGAGGGGTTTGAGATAAGCATTGCAAAAACAAGCTTTAAGGCAAACACAAAGGCACTGGCGGAAAATGAAGGGGAAGGGCTTGCGAAGGTTCTACTCATCTATTACCTCTTGAATGGCGTTTTCATTTCATCGCAAACCATAATGGTTGAGATTCATGTGTTCTTCGAATGTTGAGTTCCTATAGCTAGATATTTGGTTATATGTTTCGTCACTTATCTGAAACATTCAAAATTGTGTCTTGGATTGATATATCCTAACCTGTTTACTGCTTCTTTGATATATATAGTTAATATACAGACCGGACAATGGGGAAATTCTTGGAGTTCATATCTTTGGTATGCATGCTGCTGACCTTATTCATGAAGCGTCCAACGCCATAGCATTGGGAACATCCGTGCAGGTTATCCATTATGCGATACTATATTATCTCAAGATTATCTTATTAGTTCTCCCTTTGGGACTTGGGAGCTTCAGTTTTGACCTCCTTCAATCTCTCCATGCAGGATATAAAGTTCGCAGTGCACGCACATCCAACATTGTCTGAAGTCCTTGATGAACTGTTCAAATCTGCTAAGGTAAGCCTTTTTGTGACGTTATAGGATAGACTAGGCGAAAAAGTATATCACTTTAATAGTAAACTTGTTAATTTTACAATATTTTCTCTGACTAGCTAAAGGAATTGAAAAAAATTCAACCAGGTAACTAGTCACGTCCATCGGCCACTTGGTGAATCAGTTGTTGTCTGAAATTCTGAAGCCTAATGAGTTTGAGGGAGCTACTGCACCACCGGTCTCGCTATAGGATCATCTTCAACAAAGCATTGAGATGTAACGAGGATAGATTTGGATGACTTGCTGCATGTAACTTAAGTTGCAAATCAGGTTTTCATGAGAAATTGATATACTGATTCCAGGGTATTTTACTGAGGCCTTGGAGTGTCAGTGTGAAGCGAAAATCGACATTCTTAAGTAGTGCTCGCGGAGGCCTCATTCAAATGTTGTAAGAAGATGTATGTTCTTTTGTAATTGCAGAATAGAGGAGGCACATGGGCTCTGCCTCTATTTGGTTTATGCTTTGTATTGATAGTTCATGTGTAATTTGTTAGTGCTGAGTGCAATAAAACGTAGGAAAAACAAGTTTCACAGTCCCAAGTCAAAGTGATTGAAAATTAATGAATTACAAAGATATGATGCAACTCCATCTACTTAGAGTATGTTAAAGATAGATGATACAATCCTGGGATACACAAAGTAGCGGAATACAAAATAATAATTGAATATAAAAAAACTAGAGATTATAGTTAGGTTCCAAGTTAGAGTCAGGGTCAAGTCCCAATTTAAAAGTCGGGGTCATCGAGTCATGGGTCGGATATTAGAGCCGGTATCAGGGTCGAGGTCGGAGCCAGGTCCAAAGTTGGATGTCGAGATCAAATCCCAGTCAAGTGTTGGGGTCGGGGTTAGGGTATGTTCTAGATCGAATGTCAAATTTCGAGTCGAGTCGGGGTCAGGTCTAGGGTCAATCATGTCTAGGTTTTGATGTCGAGGTTAGGTCCCAGTTCCGAGTTGGGAGTTGGGGTGAGGTCTTGGGTTGGGTGTCGGGGTGGAACCCAGACTATTCGTCGAGGTCGTTTCCTTATTTAGGTGTCGTGGTCAACATTGAATCTTGAGTCGAGAGTCGGGGTCCTTTTATAGATCGAATGTTAGGGTTGGATCTCGAATTTGTCGTTGGGTTCGCTTCCCTATTCGGGTGTCGGGTTCAAATCTTGGATCAGTTATCAGAAGTGGTTTCCAGGTAAGAAACTATTTTCCGAAAAAGTATTTTCTACTCTATAGCGTGATAAATGAAAGATACTTTCTAGAAAATATTTTTTATTTACCGACCAAATACTAGAAAATAATTTCTATTCACCAACCAAACATGATAATTTAGCTTGTCTGGATTGACTTTTCATTCTTTACTTATAAGCCAAAAGTCATAAGTTAGTATTTTCTAACTTGCGGATTATTTTTAGCATTTTAGCTTAAAACTAAGGGCCCGTTTGGATGGGCTTA